TATTTGTGTAGGCTATAGTGGGGTATCCCATAGGGGGTACAACCCAACTAGGGTTTCCTATTTGTACTCACTTCATTCATAGTTCATTCATTCTCTCGTTCACTTCTTCTCAGTTACTACTACTCGACGGCAGAGAACTTCAACGGGCACGAGGAACATGCCTTACCTGCCCGGAAGCCGACTTACCACATCGGCCGTTTACTCCTCATCACAACCCGAGCGCACCCGTGTACGCACCACTCGAAAAGGTGTATAGTGACATCCTGTACAATCGGGAACCAGGACAAGTAATCTACAACTACACAATCACCTTCATCGACGCCGCCACTCGTTACGTCTGGCATCTAAACCTTCCCAGCCGTGACATGGTCCTCGAAGCATTCGCTGCTTGGCTATTAGTAGCAGAGAGAGAGTCGGGCGTAAAGCTGAAAAGCTTCCTGTCAGACGGAGGAGGAGAATACACCTCTCAGCGATTCAAGCAGTATCTGGCAGAAAGGGGAATCAAGCAGCTCCTCTTTCTTCCCTACGCCCATCAGCAGCAAGGTGTAGCAGAAAGAATGAACAGGACTCTGCAGAACAGCATGCGCAAACTGTTACGTGGCATGCGGCTACCCAACCACCAGTGGCCTGCAGCAATGGACCACGCTGTCATGCTGTACAACTTGCTGCCGTCATCATCGCTTCCGAACAACGCATCACCGCATCTGCTGTGGATAGGGAAACAGGGCAGCACAAAAATGTTACGAGTGTTCGGATGCATGGTAGAGTATCGACCCCCAGCAGCACGAGCGGGCCGATTTTCACAACGCGCACAGTGGGGACTACACCTCGGCATCAAAAAGAATTACAGCGCGTGGAAAATATTCGACGTCCACTCCAAGGAAACAGTAGCAGCACGCGACGTCATCTTCTACGAACGACTCACGCTCCAGACATACCTTGCCAACCTGCAAGAGGACCAAGATCCCACAGGTGGTTTTCGTGGCGACCGAGCCTTCGCCTCCGCAGAAGACGAAGCTGACTGGGACGAGCAGAATGTGGACAACGCGTCAGAAGAAGCCGGACCTCTTCCGTTCTGCTCCGTCGACGTTCCCATGGACGAAGACAACCCTCGCAAAAGTGTCAACGCCGAAACCTTCTACTACTTCGCCGACAACGGTTACGTAACACCTGCGACAGTCAACATCAACGAAGCAGAACAAGTAGGACCGAATTTCATACCTGATCCAGAAGCGGGAGATGAAGCAGCTTATCCCGAGGACGCAACTCTTCCCCGCTACTCACAAACTGGACTGCAGATACTCGGCCTCGTCACCGCAGTCCACGGCAACACTCTTCCTAAGGAGCCTGCGACGGTTCAGCAGGCTCTGGGGGGGGAACACAGGGAAAAATGGCGTGAAGCCATGGACAGAGAGTTAAAGGCGCTGGAGGAACGGAACACCTGGAATGTCGTCCCCATCAGCGTGGCAAGGAACAAAACCATTCTCACCGGGAAATGGGTCTTCCGCATTAAAACAAAAGCAGACGGCACAATTGAGAAGTTCAAAGCACGCTGGGTTGTGCGTGGATTCGATCAGGAGCACGAACGGGACTTCACCGAGACATTCGCCCCGGTTAGCCGACAAACCTCACTTCGAATCCTCCTCGCGATCGCCGCCACAAAGAAGAAGAAATTGCAGCAAATCGACGTCGCTAACGCATTCCTCTACGCACCTGTTGATGCTGAAATCTTCGTTGAGCAACCGCACAGCTCCCACGGAGAACCCAACCAAGTCTGCCAGCTACTCAAGTCACTCTACGGCATCAAGCGAGCCCCGCGACTGTGGCAACAGCACCTGCACGCTCGCCTCATCCGCATCGGCTTCAAGCAACTACCGCACGATCAAGGCATGCACCGACTCACCAAAAACGAAGACTGCATCCTACTAATCGTCTACGTGGACGATCTTCTTTACATCGGCTCGACTGACGATATCACCACCTGGTTTGAAGGGGAGCTGCAGCGAGATCTGATGCTCACAGTTTCATCTACCGTCACTCAGTACCTTGGCCTCAACATCCGGGAAGAGGAGGACGCGATCTACCTCAGCGCCGGAAAATATGCCGACACTATCGCCAAACGTTTTACGCTCACACCAACAGCCATTTCCACGCCATCCTGCTATACGGCAGGAAACGACAAAGGAGGCTCCGCTCTACTCAAGCCCGCCGGCATACGAGACTACCAGAAGAAGTTGGGATGTCGTCTCTTCGCAGCCGTCACCTGTCGTCCCGACCTCTCATACTCCGCAAGCCCGCTCGCTACCTACCTCAAAAGGCCTGAAGGAGAACATCTGGCGGAACTCGACCGCGCTCTTCACTACCTTGTCAGCACCCCGACGGTCGGCCTGACCTACCATAAAAACGCAACAACACCGCCTAAGCTAATCGGTTACGTCGACGCAGATCACGCGGGCGATTCCGACAACAGACGATCGCGCACCGGCTACATCTATCGCTTCGAGCCTATCGGGCCTATCTCCTGGCAATCGAGCAAGCAGGAACTAATTGCTCTCTCGTCAGCTGAAGCAGAATATATTGCACTCTGCTCAGCCACCAAGGAAGGACTCTATCTTCGCGAGCTGCTGGAAGAAGCGAAGTTAGCCGAGTTACCCAACTTTACTATGTTCTGCGACAACCAGTCGGCAATTCGCATCGCCAACAAGAACGGCTTTGCGAACAGGACGAAACACATCGCCCTGTGATACTTCTTCGTGAAAGACGAGATCGAGAAGGGAAGGCTCGAGCTGTCATACTGTCCCACGTCCGAGATGGCAGCTGACTACCTAATCAAGAAACTCGGAAAACAGAAGTTCGAATATTGCATGCTGCTGACTGGACAGAGCCACGTCAGCGACACTCCAGAAGCGAGGGAGTGTTGGAAACAATCGGTCCTAAGCGCCTCTGTCGTGTCGAAACACTAAAGACACAAGTGAAGCAACGCATATCGAGGCAACCAGCGAGTCAACCTTCGGAGGTTGAAGTAACAGCTGGAGGTTACGCGAAGGTCAAAGGTCAGCGACCTTTGACTTGACAAATGTAGTGCGACAGCAAGGACACACAACTGACTCGATATCGAACAGTTGCCCGAGTCGCACTGTATCGAACCGCAACAGCTAACAGTAAAACAGTTACCGTCATACCCCGGATATAAGCGCCACCCGCGGATAAGCGCCTGGCGCTTTTAATTGGCGTGTGGCGCTTATATCCGGTGCTCGATTATAAGCGCACCCCCTGAAGGCTTACGTATTATAAGAGCCACCATATGTATTAGTTTTTATAAAGTTAGTGGAATCTCTGTAGCGAAACACACTATTTGCATCCTCACTTGATAAAATTTCGACCCTTCACCCTCGCGCGACTCACTGCCCCACCCTCGCGCGACTCATTTGACTGCGCGTCCAGTCAGAATGAGCTGTCATGGGGCGAAATGACTCATTTTGACTGTGTGTGTTGGCAGTTCAGTTTGCAAACTTACGCGAGATTTTTCTTCATACCCACTATGATCTTGACTCGATTGAAATCGCAATGACAAGATGAACATTTTGAAGTGAAAACAACTAGATTTCATATATGTCATTGTATAAGCCCATCCCCTAAAAAAAACACGTTTTATTAGTGCCCCCCATGGGGGTATATCCGGGGTATGACGGTATCATTCATATCTCTTCGTATTCCTTGTACTCTTATATAAACCTTTGTACTCGTTTGCTTTAATCAACTTACTTTGCCCTCACATACTAGCGCAAGGTGGTTCAGAGTCTCTTCATTAAACCTTCCACTACCACATCACTCTACCCAGAGATTAACCCTACCAAAGATCCTAAGGGGCTTCTCAGCCCAACACTAAGCCTAAACTAACCCTAAAGCCAAAATGCAGGGCATGTTCCGCCAACAAAGCAGCAGCACTGCTTCATTATAGTCACATGGTTGTGATGACACAGAAAGCTAGTCACCTTGCCTACTTCCTATCCATCCTCCAAATCCTTTGATTCCATCTCCTCCCCATCCCCCTCTCACCTCCCCATCCTTGCCTTCTTCGTCCTCGTTTCCCGTCCACTCCACCTCCTCCTCCCAATTCCCCACTCCCTCCCTACCCCTCACTCCCATTGCATTCGCCCCATATCACCACCCTCTGTCTTGCCCCTTTTACGGCACATCTGGTTTGCCAAGCCCAAGCAGCGGAATTATTTTGAACGGCTGCCCATGTACACAGAGAACTTGCGAAACCTGCCCACCAGAGCCTCGCTCCGAAGCCCAGTTCAGATGCCAGCTCATCGCGGGCGCCCGACAGCGGGGCGTCGAGAGACGCCGCCTCAGCACCACCTGGCGCATTGGAAGCGAAGCCGGTGAGGGTGGCTGCTGACATGTCGTCGCGGGAGAGGGCAGAGTGGAAGAGAGCGAGGAGGGGGCGATTGGAGGAGAGGGAGAGCGGTGGAGTGACCTAGTCAGGCTTTAGCAATGCAACCTCAGCGTGACGACAAAACAGAATCAGAAACTCACCACCAACACGCGCTCCAGCAACAAGGTATGAATACCACTCTTATCAACCCCTCACCCCCCACGACATCACCTATTGCCTCCTCTGAATCCTCCTCTTCCATCAACTTGCCATTCCTCTCTCACCTCCCCATCCTGCCTCCTTGTCCTCCGCATCTTCATCTCACTACACCTCCTCCCTCGTTCCACACTCACCTACCCTTCACTCCCCTCCGCTTCCCTTCCCTCCCCTTCGCTCTCCTCCCCTTCACTCCCCTCCCCTTCACGCTCCTCTCCATCCTCCCATCACCCCTTTTCCTTCCTCCCATTCACCCTCCCCCACTTTTGCTCCCTTCATCCTCCTCCCCTCCCCCATCCGCACTTCCCATTCATCTTCTCCCTCCGAGCCACCCACTGCCCGCTCTCCCTCGTCCAGGTTCGCTGTACCATAGAACACCACCCTCCGTCTTTTCCCTGCTCCCCTACCCTTCACTCCCTTCCCCTTCTCTCCCCTCCCCTTCATTCCCCTCATCCTCTTCCTCCTCCTTCTCCTCATCCTCCCCCTCATCCTGTTCCTCCTCCCCATCCTCATCCTCCTCCCCATCCTCATCCTCCCCCTCATCCTGTTCCTCCTCCCCATCCTCATCCTCCTCCTCTTCCTCCCCCTCGTCCTCTTCCTCCCCCTCGTCCTCTTCCTCCCCCTCGTCCTCTTCCTCCCCCTCGTCCTCTTCCTCCTCCTCGTCCTCTTCCCCAACATCATCCGGGCCAAACACCGCACGCTCTCCCTCATCCAGGTTCGCTCTACCCTTTATCACCACCCTCCCTGCCGACAGCAGCGGGCACGCACTGACAACGCATGCCTGCAGCTTCCCCATCTGCTGCACGCCCGCGGGTAACCGGGCCAGCAGCATGCACCGTAACAGGCTCAATTCCTCCAGTCCAGGCAGCTGCGAAAAAGTTTCGGGCAGGCTACAGAGTTCGGGCAGCGACTGTAGAGTTAGTTTCTTCAAAGCAGAGAGCTTCCAGAAGTCATCTGGAAGGCACGAAATCCCGACATCGGACAAAGAGCACGACTCCAGCCTGCAGAGACCAGGGAAGGAATCGGGAAGCCTGGTTAGGCCCGGGCTGTTGTGAATCTCCAAAGACCGAAGCTTCTTCAGCTGCCCGAATGATTCGGGCAGAGCAGTCAAGCTCAGGAGACAGTTAAGCTGGAGGGATGTGAGAGCTGAGAGCTGCCCTATCGACTCTGGCAGAGCTAGCAGGCTTTCGGCAACGCTGATCGCCAGTAACTGCAAGCGAGTGATATGAGAGATGGAATCTGGCAGCGAGCGGAGGCGATCCAGTCGCAGGATTTCCAGCTTGGTTAGCGACAGGAAGGAGCCCAGCGATGGACTGAGCTGCTGCAGGGGAAGCTTCTCAATCTTGAGGTGGCCAAGGGAGGGAAGCAACAGTCTCTTGTCACTCTCCTCAGATCCCCCACAGCTGCCAGTGCCACTGCTGCTACCAGTGTGACCGGGTAACTCACGGCAGGTGATTCTCCCCCCAAGCTCTTGCCCGGCAGCTCCCGTGTGTGCATCGCCCATGTGTGCATCCCCAAACAGCAACTCCAGCGCGCTGCAGCAACTCAATTCCAGAGACTTCAGCCGCTCCAGCTGCCACAGCGACCGAGGGAGCGACTTCAGATTGGGCAGATCGACCAGCTGGAGTGTTTCGAGCGATCCCAGCCGTCCGATTTCCTCTGGCAGCGCCTCAAATAGCGGGCATCTGACGACCACGAGGCTGGTGAGAGCGCAAGCGATGGCAGGGAGGGAGGCGGGCAGGGCGGGCAGGTGTGGCAGGGAGGAGAGAGAGAGGTCCTTGAGGCTTGTCCAGTGGGAGAACCCCCCTGGTAGCGCGCCTCGTAAGCTGTGTGCATGACACAAGTTCAGGGTTTCGAGGGCAGAGAGTTTGGAGAAGGATGGAGGGAGGTGGGTGAGAGCAGTGCATGCGAGCAGAATCAGTCCACGCAGGCTATGCAGACCATCCCCCATGCCCTGCGGTAGCGCCGTCAGCTTGCGACAGTGACTGATTTCCAGCAGTTCGAGGGAAGTTAGCAGAGTGAGGGAGTCTGGAAGCTGTGCCAGCAGGCTGCATGAGTCTATTTTCAGCTCCTTGAGGCTCGTCAGGTTGCCAAGCGATGCTGGCAGGCTGTTCAGCTGCTGAAGCTTAACCAAGTGCAGAGTTTCCAGGGCAGTCAGCTGCCCGAATTCCTCGGGCAAAGATTGCAAAGTTCCAGCCCTTTGAAGCGTGAGGACCTTGAGTGTGGTGGCGAGGTATTCAGAGGGACGCAGGTGCACGGCAATTCCAACGTCTAGCCTGAGAGTGCGTAGGCGTGGGAGGAGAGCGATGTCGACAGGCATATGCTGGAGGTGAAGGTTGAGGAGGATAAGGTCCGTGAGAGGAGGCAGGCGGGAAAGGGAGGCAGGAATAAAGTCCATATCGCGGCAGTAGATCACGGAAAGGAACCGCAGCCGCTGCAGCTGCCCGAGACTGGCGGGAAGGCTGGTGATCCCCTCTACGGCCTCCAGACGTAGGGTTTCAAGCGCCAGCAGGTTACCGAAACTCTCGGGCAGCGGCGAAAGGTGTTCGCAGTTGGAAATTTCGAGGGTCAGCAGGGATGAAAGGTTGGAGATGGATTCGGGCAGCTGAAGCCCTAATTCACAGCCGTTGATGGAAAGATGCGTCAAGTTGGTAAGCTGCCCGAAAGAATCGGGAATGGAGCGGAGACGCGTGCATCTTTCCAGCCGGAGCGACTTGAGCAGCCTCAGATTGCCGAAGTGCTGAGGCAGTTCATCCAGGCCGTGCATTTCAATCACGAGATGCGCGAGTGCCTGTAACGAGGTGAACGCGTCTGGAAGGAGAGTAATTCTCCCCCTGTCGGTGATGTGTAGGCTCTTGAGTGACGCAAGGCCGCCGATTGACGCAGGAATGGTGGTCAGGTTTGACTGACAATCAAGATGAAGCGCCTCCAGCCGTGTGCATTTCTCAAGGAAATACGAAAGTCCGTTTACAGTGAAACCCCCTCGTCTGTACCGTCGATCCATGGTATCGACGTGGAGGTCCGTCAGATCTGGACACGTGTCGGCTATCCGCAAGAGGAGGGAGTCAGGGACGGACGTGATGCTGCCGTTGGCGAGGACGAGCTTTCGGAGCCTTGGGAATGACGAGAGGTGCGCGAGCTCGCGAGGAGGTATGCGACGCTCTTCGCGAATCTGGATGTGCTCGTGCACGCTACGGGCAATGCGATGCCATTTCTTGCACACAAGTGCGTGCTGGAATTGGCCGTCGGATCTACCTGCGAGTCGGAAGATAATGGAAAGAAGATCGTCTGACAGCGATTCAAACGGTGACGCGGCAGCCATTCTGGCTAGTTGATAAGATGCCATGGTAACTAAATAGCTCGAAGACTAATAAGGCCGTAGCGAGAGTCCCTTACAACAGGAAGGAGCTTCAGGCGCGCAGGGAAACTTGCAGAAATGAAATGGCCGAAGTCATTGTGAGGGAGTCTGTGTTTGAGTGTCGCTGTGACAATCCCTAGGCTGGATCCAACCTATCGCAATGTACAGTACTAATCTCGAAGCTCTACTGTAGCATTTGACGAACTGGAGCGCGAGAAGAAATGGGTGTTACAGTGCGCCAGACTTGACCTAGTTTTGTTCACCTTTATGTTGACTCCGCTAAGCGTGTTGGCTCGTTCCAATTCTTTTGGTGGAGGTTCCAAGTTTCCTGAAAGGGCGGTTCGACAGTGTGACGTCACGTCACAAACATCCCAGTCCTTTCATCCATTGAAGGCCATCGAAACCGTCCGATGGGCCTCGACGTGCAAATGGATGGCATAGATGTTTTTCTTCCTGCCCAGGGTCTGGGTGCCCCTCCCAATGTCGGCATGGTATGCCTACGCTATTGGACAAGACCTACAAAGCCATGCCAACATAGCCTTACTGTTTGGCCACTTCTACGCCCAGAACTTCGACTTCGGGAATGGCGCCGCCGCCTGAACTGGTTCCTCATCACACAACGTTTGCCCAGCTTGAGTCTGCAGAGGTTCTAATCTGCAGGCCAATTAGTTTGGGAAGTAGCACGAATAGTTGAGCAGCTTGAAACATTAGAGGCCATTGAATGTCGAAGTAGCGGAACCAAAGAACAGCCGCATCGCCACCTTGCACACGTGGGAAACCCGCTTGCCGTTCAGCGACATTAGCGCATGGACAGAATCATGCGAGTGTTGCAGCTGTCGAGACCTTTTCGTCGACGCGACGGCACAGCAGAAATGGAAGCAGCCGCTCCCGACGCTCTGCGATCGTCAGACAACGCGTCACGTTTGACAGAAACGTCGCCCGCGAGACTTCCAAATCATGCGACGGCGCACGAGAAGCCGCAACAGCGAATCGCTCACGTGGACGATCCCGACCGTACGATCCGAGAGGCCGAGCTAGAAGCATCGGACGGCGGAGAGGGCCTGCTAGCGAGATGGAGGATCCATAGAAGCCGATTGGCTAATAACCGCATCCGGACGAGTAAATACACGCTGCTAACCTTCCTCCCTCGCAACCTATTTGAGCAGTTTCATCGCGTCGCGTACATTTACTTCCTCGTGCTAATCTTAATCAACCAGATCCCGCAGCTCGCGATCTTCGGCCGTTACATCTCCGTCATTCCGCTGCTCTCCGTGCTGACGGTAACGGCGATTAAAGACGCCTTCGAGGACTGGCGACGCCACCGCGTCGACGCGCAGGAGAATGGGCGCGAGTGCTTCGTGTACCGCGGGGGCCAGTGGTGCTCTGCCACGTGGCAGAGCATTCGCGTGGGAGAGTTGGTGCATGTACGGGGGGACACGACGGTTCCGTGCGACATCGTGCTTCTGGCGTCTAGCGACCCGTCGGGTCGCGCGTTTGTGGAGACAATGAATCTGGACGGCGAGACGAACCTCAAAACCAGGTACAGTGTTTCTGCTGCTTTAAAAAGCACTGAGTCGGCCGCTGGTGTAGCAGGGGGCAGGGATAGCATAGGTGGTGGTGGCAATGATGGCGGTCCCCCTTTGAACCATGATCAGGAGCAGCAGCCTCAGCATCAGCTTCAGCAGCAGCTTCAGCAGCAGCCTCGGCAGAGCAGGACGCAGAAGCATAGAAAGAAGCAGCAGCGCAACAGTCGAGCCAGCTGCCTGCAAGCGCAGCAGCACGGCAGCAGTCTAGCCAGCTCCCTGCTGCAGAAGCAGGGCGAAGGAGCAGAAGGGTGGCGGGGGTGGGTGCTAACGTGCGAGGCCCCGTCGCGGAACATCTACGAGTTCTCAGGTTTCCTGCAGCAGCCGTCTGGGAATAGCAGTACTGAGAGCACCACCGCCAGCACCAGCGGCACGTCTGGTACCAATCACAACCCATGCGTTGATGCACGTGGTGGCGATTCCAGTGGAGCTGAGGAGGCCGCTGCCGCTGCTGCCGCTGCTGCTGCTGATGCTGTTGATGCTGTGTTAGATGCTGATGAAAGCAATGGGACGAAATTCGGCTTTGGGAAAGACACTAACGCTACTGGTTGTGGCACGAGCAGCAGCACTAGTGCTGGCAGCACCACCACCGCCAGCACCGTTAGCACCTGCACCAGCCATATCACCACCACCATTAGCCCTAGCAATACCCCTGAGGCTCCTGCCAGTAGCAGCGTGGCTGTGGGACCGCTAAACGTTTTACTTAGAGGGTGCGAGGTGCGCAACACAGCGTGGGTGGAGGGCGTTGCAGTGTACACTGGCGGCGACTGCAAGGTGGTACTTAACTCCGTGGGCGCACAGTCCAAGCGCAGCCGCATAGAGTCACACCTAGACCGAGATATGCTCCTCCTCGCGCTTCTCCTCACTCTGCTCTGCCTGATCTGTGCTATCGGCATGGGCGTGTGGCTTGGCAGTCATGACCTACCAGCTCTGCCGTACTACGGCGTGAGTTATGATTACCTGGGCGTGGGAGGGGAGGCGGCGCTGAACTTCTTCGCAACGCTGATTCTGCTGCAGGTGCTGGTGCCGATATCGCTGTATATTTCCATGGAGCTGGTGAGGATTGTTCAGGCTGTGCTCATGACGTGCGACCGGCACATGTGTGACGAGGAGGGGGAGAGGGAAGCGGAGGCGAGGGCGGGGTGGAGGAGACACTGGGTGGGGAGTGGGAGGGGAATGAGGATTGGCCGATGGGGGAGGAAAAGGAAACGCGTGGGAGAGGTGAAGGGAGGCGAGGAGGCGGCGGAGGGGCAGGGGGAGGAGGTTGGGAATGGGGCGGAGGTGGGAGCGGCGGGGTTGGGTAATGGGAAGGGGAGCAGAGGTGGTGATGGTGGTGTCAGTGGTGGCAAGAGCGAGAGTGGATTGCTGTGCCGTGCGTTGAACATTAATGAGGATCTGGGGCAGGTGAGGCACGTGCTGACGGACAAGACCGGCACACTCACTGAGAACCGCATGGCCTTCCACTCCTGCTCCGTTGCTGGTATAGATCTGCACTCCCTCCTCACTCCAACCGGGAAAGCCTTTGACACTTCTGCTGCTGCTGCTGCTGCTGCCACTGCTGCTGGTGCCTCTGAGTCTGAGTTTATCCGAAGGGCGTCTGCTGCTCCTGCTGCTGTTGGTCCTGCTGCTGATGCACGGGCTGTGGAGGTTCAAGGTGGTGCCGAACCTGGAGCGGTTTCCGAGGCTGATGTGGAGGCTCGGTCGGTGCAGCCGCCTGATGTTGTTGGTGGTTTGGGACCGCTGCAGCTGTCAGCAGGGTTGGCTCGGGAGTTTGCTGACGTGGCGGGGCCTGGTGCTGGCGGGGTGCTGGATGAGTTCCTATTGGTGCTGGCGGCGTGCAACAATGTGGTGCCGACACGTGTCAGTGTGACAGCGAGCGGTGAGCTGGATATGCATGCTGTGGGCGAGGGGGAGGATGACGTGGCAGAGGAGGAAGAGGGAGAGGAGGAGATTGAAAGGGAGGGAGATGGAAGAAGGGAAGATGCTGGAGAGGAGCACAAGGGAAATGGGGGGCCGGTTATGGCAACGCAGAATCGAAGTCCTGATGCTGCAGCATCTGTGGGTGCTGATGTGGAACTGGGACTGCTTGACGCTGCAGCAGTGCCCATTGCTGACGTGGCAAGTGATGACGTGGCAGAGGAACTGGCGGAGGTGATTGAGTACCAGGGCGAGTCGCCAGATGAGGTGGCACTGGTGAAGGCTGCGGCCGGCATGGGTTGGCAGCTAGTGCAGCGATCAGAGCACCACATCGTGATCAACGTCCGAGGGAAGGACGAAAGGTGAGAGGCTGTGAAGTGGGTCAACTTGAGAGGGTAGGCTAAGTAAAGGCCGGGCAAGGGGCAAGGGGCAAGGGAGGGATGCACTGGTGTGGTATGGGTTGCCACTTGCTGCTTCAGGCTTGGCTCTTCTTTGGAGGCGACTAGAAAACAGAACCATGAACATGATGTGCCTGCTGTAACTCAGAGTCAGACGCCAAACGTACACAGATCTACAACAAGGTGCGACCTCCACAGATCTACATGATGTACATCTGTGGAGGTCGCACCCTGTGGAGGTCGCACTCTGTGGAGGTCGCACACTGTGGAGGTCGCACTCTGTGGAGGTCGCACTCTTCCTGGCCGTGAAGCGTATCCACTGTGCACACCTACCCTCTGTGCAGCTACCGAGGTGCTGGGGGTGCACGAGTGTGACAGCATACGCAGGCGATTCCTGAGGCGCCTCAAAACCCATTTATCTTCTCCCTAGTCAGTCAACTGAATCTCCCTCGTTCGTGAAACGTAGGTACGAGGTGCTGGGGGTGCACGAGTTTGACAGCACATGCACGCGCTTTCTGAGGTGCCTCCCGTTTGTCGGCTGAGTGAGCCTTTCTTTCACGTTCCATCACACCTACCCTTTGTGCGGTGCAGGTACGAGGTGCTGGGGGTGCACGAGTTTGACAGCACCCGCAGGCGCATGTCCGTCGTGCTTCGCTGCCCGGATGGTTCCACGAAGCTTCTCGTCAAGGGCGCCGACAGCGCCGTCCTCAGCCGCGCCGAGTGTGAAGAAGGTGCTGGGAAGCTTCCTGGAGGAGAGGAAGGAGGAGCATCGGGGAGAGGAGTGGGGAAGGGTGGGAGACGGAGGCGAAGGAGTGGGAAGGGATTTGGGTGTCAGGGGCCTCTGGGGGGTTATGTCAGTTGCTTTGTGGGGACAGCAGCAGGGGCAGGGGACCGGGAAGAGCAGAGTGCAGCAACAGGGATGGTGGTGAGGGATGAGATAGACGAGGAGAGTGATGGTGACGACTGTGGGGAAGGCGATGGGGAAGGCGAGGGGGAAGGCGAGGGGGAAGGCGAGGGGGAAGGCGATGGGGAAGGCGAGGGGGAAGGCGATGGGGAAGGCGAGGGGGAAGGCGATGGGGAAGGCGAGGAGGAAGGCGATGGGGAAGGCGAGGGGGAAGGCGATGGGGAAGGCGAGGGGGAAGGGGAAGAGGAAAAGGGAAGGGAAGAGGATGGTGGATTGGAGGAAAGGGAAGGCGATGCAGTGGTGGGTACGGGGGAGAGTGTGCGAGAGAATGGTCATCTCCAGCACCACAAATCCTCGCACGATCTCTCTCGTCAACAGCACCGCATTCTCTCTGCCACAGAGCGGCACATACACCAATACTCCCAAGCTGGCCTGCGCACTCTCGTCATTGCCACCCGCCCGCTCCCGCCCGCCGCCCTCCACGCCTGGCTCGCCGCCTACTGCTCCGCCGCCTGCTCCCTCTCCGCCGACCGGGACGCACAGCTCGCCGCACTAGCAGACGAAACGGAGCGGCACCTGCAGATTCTGGGCGCTACAGGCATAGAGGATAGGCTACAGGCGGGCGTGCCGGCAGCGCTACAGATGCTGAGAGGGGCCGGCATGAAGGTGTGGATGCTGACTGGAGATAAGGTGGAGACGGGTGTTTCTATTGCTCGGTCGTGTGGGCTGGTGAGGAGAGAGGACCGGGTTGTGAGAGTGAGTGCAGGGACCGAGAGGGAGTGTGAGAAGAGGTTGAGGGAGGTATGTGGGATGGAGGGGAGTGGGGTGGGGGAAGCTGGGGGGTTAGGAGAGGTGGAGGGGGTGGGGGGCGGGAGAGGAGAGGGAGGGGCTGCAGCAGTGGAGGAGGAGGAGGGTGATTGTAGGGAACGTGGGAGCAGCAGCAGCAGCGTTAGTTGTGGGAGTAGCGAGGTGCGGGGCCTGAATGGGGCTAGCCTGGGGGAGGACGACGGCGAGGGGAGGACAGGGGAGGAGGTGGGGAAACACATGGGCGCCCTGGGCTCGTGGCATGTAGGCAGTACAGCAGCGTCATGCGCCATGGCCATCGATGGCGCCACACTGGCACTCGCTCTCTCACCTACTCTGCAAGGCCTGGTGAGAACAAGGCTCATGAATGCATGAATGCAGGGGGCTCGTGGCATGCAGGCAGTGCAGCAGCGTCACGGGCCATGGCCATTGATGGCGCTACACTGGCAGTCGCTCTTTCGCCTGCACTGCGCGGCCTGGTGAGAGCACACACACACATTGACATGAAGAATCGCCCCGCCTGGCTTGCCCCCTTTGTCTTGCCCTCTCTGCTCCCCTCCTCTAGCTTCCCTGCCTCCTTCCTCTCTGCCATGCATTTTCTGCCTGCTCTCCCTCCCGCGCCACCATCTCTCATTCGACCGATTTCCCTTGACCCCCATTCCGTTCTCTGGTGTTGTTTTGAGTCGCCTCAAAACTGGTGCTGTGCTCTGGGGTTGGGCCCGCCCCACAATGACTGTCCTATTTCCCCCTTCCGTTTCTCTCTCCTTCCGCCTCTCCCCCTGTTCTTCTGTGCCTCACAGCACTGCTCTGTGGTGCTGTGCTGCCACGTGGCGCCCATGCAGGAGGCTGCTGTGGTGGCCCCCACAGTGACAGTCCTAACCTCCTTCCCCCATTTCCTCTCTCCTTCCCCCTCCCATCTCTCTATCCTCCAGTTCTTCCGAGCATCACAGCGCTGCTCCGTGGTGCTGTGCTGCCACGTGGCGCCCATGCAGGAGGCTGCCGTGGTGGCCCTCACCTCATCACCCTTTCATCTTGCTCCCCGCCTGCCTCCCCCGCCAGTTCTTCCGAGCATCGCAGCGCTGCTCCGTGGTGCTGTGCTGTCGAGTGGCGCCCATGCAGAAGGCTGCTGTGGTGGCACTTGTGAGGCAGCTGTCAGGGGAATTAACCCTCGCTATTGGCGATGGTGAGTTGATGTTAGGGGGAATTAACCCTCGCTATTGCCGATGGTGAGTTGATTTTAGGGGAATTAACCTCACAACTAGAGATGGCCAGTGGGTCTCAGGGGAATGAGCACTAGGTATTGATGATAGTGGTTGATACCAGGGAAATCAGCCTTCGCTGTTGAGGATGGTGAGTCGACATCAGGGCAATCAAACATCCAAGCAGGTGCACGGGGATGTGAGGGGCTGCAGGCTGTCCAGCACTTCCGTATTCTTCTTCTCTTTCTCTCTTTCATTCTTTCTTTCTTCCCCATTCTCCTCTCCTGCTTGTTCACTCAGGAGCCAACGAATGAATAGGGGTGGAAATCAGAGGCCACAAGGGTCGGCAGACGGTGATGGCGATTGGCTTTGCCATCTCGCAGTTCCGCTTCCTCGCTCGCCTGCTGCTGGTGCTCATTGCCTTTGCTCACTCCCTCTTTTATTCTTATTCCCACTCTCCCACTCCTCCCCTCAGGCGCCAACGACGTGCCAATGATTCAGACTGCCGCCATAGGGGTGGGCATACGAGGCCACGAGGGGAGACAAGCGGTTATGGCGAGCGACTTTGCCATCTCGCAGTTCCGCTTCCTCGCTCGCCTGCTGCTGGTGCACGGGCACTGGAACTACCACCGCATGGCCTACATGATCGTCTACAACCTCTACAAGAACACCGTCTTCGTGCTCCTGCTCTTCTGGTGGGTCTCAAAATGCCCAAAAGTGGTTCGTGGGCATTGGTTGGAGGAACTACATCCGCATGGCATTCGTTTACAAAAAAAACTCTGTTTTCGTGCTCCTGCTCATGTGATTTATCTACCAATTCAGAACTATGTTCCTTTCTTTCTTTCTTCCTCCAATCCCTTGGTGAAACAGGTACTCTCCCTGCTCCACCACTCCAGCCATCGGCCAGCTGAGCCTTCTCATGTTCTTCTCGGTCACCTACACCACCCCATGTCATTGGCCATCTCAGAATTCTCTTCCTTTCTCCCTTTCCTCCTCCTCCAACCCCTCTCTCACAACAGGTACCTCTCCCAAACAGCATTCTCCACCACCCCAGCCATTGGCCAGCTGAGCCTCATGTTCTTCTCGCTCACCTACACCACCCTCCCCACCGTCGCCGTCGCCTCCATCGACCAAACCCTCCTGCCCGCCCGCCTGCTCGCCTGGCCGCAGCTCTACGGCGCCGGGCAGCGCGAGGAAACTTACAACCTGCCCGTGTTTCTGGCTGCCATGCTGGATGCCACGTGGCAGAGCCTGGTGCTGTTTCTGGTGGGCGTGGCAACAGTGAGTGGGCTGGATGGCGACATGTGGGCGTTGGGGCAGACGTGGTTGGTGGCGCTGGTGCTGGTGGTGACAGTGCATCTTGCGATGGACATCCGACGGTGGACGTGGCTCCACGCGGCTGCGATTGCGATCGCTATACTCGTTACAGTGGTCTCGATAGTGGTTATTGACTACATCCCTCTGCTGCCTGAATATGGGTGAGTGCCCTGTGCTATGAGATTCTCTCCTTGCACCTCTGCCTCTCTTACTCTCCACCTCTCTGCCTCACTATGTTGTGTGCAACATTTCCATGCTGCTAGATTTCCCGTCAACTCTGATTCGGTACTTCTGTCTGTAAAGTACCCTCGTCCGTTGCATTTCAACATCGTGCTCTCTGCCTCCACCTGCAGGTCATTTCGATTCGCCGTTGCCACGTCAACTTTCTGGTTGGATGTGCTGTTGATGGTGGTGCTGGCGCTGCTGCCTCGCTTCTGTTCCATCCTTGTCCATCTCATTCTCAATATCATCCTCTCCTCCCTCCCCTCCCTCCCCCACCCACCCAGGTCGTTCCGATACGCCATCGCCACGTCAACCTTCTGGTTGGACGTGCTGCTGATGGTGGTGCTGGCGCTGCTGCCGCGTTTCTGTGTCAAGGTGGCCTACCAAAAATGGTGGCCCTCTGATATACAAATAGCATACGAGGACGAATGTGTACATACGGATCGTCGTTCACGCCTCGCTCTCTTGTAACAGTCACAATGTTTTAGTGCATTCTTTCATAGCCAGGAAATGTTAGTAAAATCTTAAGTCAGCATGCTGTGGAGTGGGGCTTACAGTAGTAGATTGCGTTTTCTGTTGGAAACAAGTAACTTAACGCTTGTGATGTGTCGGAACATCGAATTGTAAACGAAGCAAATAGCAACGAAGCAACAGCGAGTCAACCATCGGAGGTTGACAAACTGCTGGAGGTTATACGGAGGTCAAAGTTCAGCGACCTTTGACTTGACAGCACGACAGCAAGGACAAACAACTGACTCGATATTGAGCAGTTGCCCAAGTCGTCACTGTATCGAACCGCAACAGTGATAGTAAAACAGTTATTAGTTGCACCCTTTCATATTCCTTGTAATCTTATAAAAGCTTGCATTACTTTTCTATAATAAATTTATCTTGCCCTCACATACCAGCGCAATGTGGTTCAACGCTTCCGCAACTAAAACACTACACTACTACTCAGAGTTTAGCCTTGAAAGATCCTAAGGGCCTTTTCTCAGCCCAACATGGTATGAGAGCAGTCAAGGCAAATTCAACTGCATTCAAATCCTCTACAACATCAAAAAGCATGGCAATGCAGAAGGAGAGAAGCTCCTCCAACGGCGCGCCTAGCACTACTCCTACTCCACCTCCAGCCTCCGGCCTGCAGACAGAGGGAGGTACACCAATAACACCAGCAGCTGAGTCTACTGAGACTCCCGCAAACCAAACGACAGGCTTCGACCCAAGCATGATGGAGAAGTTTTTCTCCTTCATGTCCTTCTACGAACAGCATCAGCAAGCGGCACCTGCGCAGTCAAACATCAGCAACAACAACAACGACGTTACACCCATGAGTCTCGATGGCTCATCCTATGCGCGCGGAAACCAACAGCAACCCACCTTTGCTCCGTATGAGCCTCAACGTGGCTCAATCAGCTTCATGCCGCAACAACAGCCTCGACTTGGACAAGAGAAGACACTGGATGCACTTCAAGTTCAATCGCAGTTCGCGCACGTCTTGAAACTACAGACATCGACGCCTTTCGACGGTAAAGATTTTTATACCTGGTCATTCGAGTTTGAGCTGATGATGGAAGGCGCGGAGATCCTTGGGTTCTTCGACGGATCCCTGCCATACCCAACACACGGGACACAGTACGACAAACAACAATACACGTATCAGACGATGATGGCGTACACGATCCTGCTGAGGAACATAACTCCAAACCTGCAGCAGAATATCCGGTCTTACCGGGGATACGGCAACTCCGCCGAGCTCGCGTACAACCACTTGAAGAACCTGTACCAAGCAACAAACAGCGTCAATCGGAGCCGGCTAATGGCACAGCTAACAACAGTGGAAATGAAACCCGGCGAAAAAAGGGATGGCGTATATCAGCCGTTGTCGCGAATTGCGCGACAAACTCCTTCGATATCTGAAGAAGCCTTCGTCACATTCGTCATCTCCGGCCTTGGTCCTCATTGGCGCTCCACTCGAGCCATACTCCGAGCTTACGGGAAGATCTCCGAAGCGGCACTTTGCGCCGAACAACAAGACATGGACCTGCACAAGGATCGGCACAAGAAGAAAACGTCAGTACCCGAATTTGCATTCCACACCCAACGACGCTTCAACAACTCCAACCGACAGAATAAACAACAACAGCAACAGCACGTACCGCCGTTCTGTCATCTCTGCAAGACGTCTGAACACCCTCGCACACACTGCCCAAGTCGACAGCAGTCAACACCACCGCAACGACAACTTCGGCCTTCAAGCAGCCAAGTCGCCTCAACACAAGCGCATCCCAATCCTCAAGTTCAAACTTCAACAACATTGACAACGCAACCTGCACAAGGGACAAGAAACATCGTGAGCTGCATGGCGAGATTGTCAGACTCCTGCATCACTGAATCACCACCGTACTACTCACCGGAAGAACAACTCGATGAAAGCAACCGTCGCCGCGAGTCACTGGAGCCGAACCCGACATACGTAGCCATCGCCTAGAGCGAACCGTCCGAGAAAGACACCTGGTTCTTGGACAGTTGTTGCGGACAACACATGTGCTCCTCGGGTCGCTTCGTCCAACGGGAACACCAACTTCAACGCGAAGTAGTCATCACCGTCGCCAACAATCAGAACCTGTGCACACGACGACAAGGCACCGTTCAACTTCAGTCAAGAGAAACCAATGTCATACTACAAATGTCAAACTACTTACTTACTTAGCTACAACTTACTTAGTGTCAGCCAGTTGATGGCGAACGGCATCCACCTCGAAGCAAACAGCACCACACAGGAGTTTAAGCTGTACCATGGGAAAGGAGGTCTCTACAACAGCAAGGCACTGCTGAAGAACAGCGTCTTCGTTCTCGACTTCGTCCCAGATCAAGGCACCGACGGAATCGTCATCTTCGCACCCTGGATACATCCGCCGGATCTCGACCCCGACTTCAGCCCCGGTGGCTTGTGGTACTCGAACACCATACCGGAGGCAGAATGAACAGGAGCATTAGTGACAATCCAACAAGCAGCGACAACATCGGCAGCAGCAGAGACAACACCAATCGCGGGTCCTTCAATGGCACCAGCTCCAATCGACGATACTCCACCGACTCCTGCGCAGTAGTTGACTCCTACTCCACGAGAAGTCCACAAAAGCGCCAACTTCACCGCTGGCTTTTACTCCAACTCCGACTTGTACAGGCGCTCACCCGGACATCGCGCTGGCGAAGACATCTGGCGCGCAATAATGGGACACCCGAGCAACACGACGTTAAATAACACGATAAGAGCAGGAGAACTTGATAAAGACTCGCTACTTCTACCCGATGGAAGAGAACTTCAACGAGTTCGATGAACATGCTTCACCTGCCCTGAAGCCGACTTACCGCATCAGCCGTTTGTCTCTCACCACAACCCAAGTGCGCCGGCATATACACCTCTGGAGAAGGTGTACAGCGATATACTGTACAACCGCGAACCCAGTCAAGGAGCATACAACTACGCTATTACTTTCATCGACGCCGCCACACGATACGTATGGCACCTCAACCTTCCGAGTCGCGACATGGCCTTCGAAGCTTTTGTTGCCTGGCTTCCAGTAGCAGAACGAGAATCAGGATTGAAGCTGAAAAGCTTCCAGTCAGACGGGGGAGGAGAATTGCAGTGCCAGAGTTTCAAGGACTACCTAGCATAACGAGGCATCAAGAGGCTCATCTCCCTTCCCTACGCTCACCAACAGCAAGGCGTGGCAGAAAGAATGAACAGGACCCTCCAGAACACCATGCGCAAGCTGCTACGTGGCATGCAGCTACCCAACCACCAGTGGCCTGAGGCGATGGACCACGCTGTCATGCTGCACAACTTGCTTTCGTCATCATCGCTCCCGAACAATGCATCACCGCATCTGCTGTGGACAGGAAAATTGGGCAACACAAAAATGTTGAGAGTGTTCGGCTGCATGGTACAGTACCGACCCCCAGCTGCACGAGCAGGTCGCTTCTCCAAACGCGCACAGTGGGGGCTACACCTGGGAATCGAGAAACAGTACAATGCATGGAAAATTTTTGACATCAACACAAAGGAAACAGTGGCAGCACGTGATGTCATCTTCTACGAGCGACTCACGCTTCCGACATACCTTGCCAACCTCGAAGAAGACCGAGACTCCACAGGTGGCTTTCACGGTGACCGAGCCTTCGCTTTGGCAGCGGATGAAGCTGACTGGGACGAGCAAAATGTGGATGGAGCCTCGGAAGACGCCGGACCTCTTCCCTACTGTTCGGTCGACGTTCCAATGGACGACGAAAATCCTCGTGACAGTATCAACGCCAAAACCTACTATTATTTCGCCGACAACGGTTACGTTGCACTCGCGCAAGTCAACACCGACGAAGCAGAACGCGTAGGACCCAATTTCATACCTGATCCAGAAGCAGGAGAAGAAGCAGCTTATCCTGAGGACGCAAATCTTCCCCGCTACACACAGAGTGGACTCCAGATACTCGGACTTGTCACCGCGGTCCACGGCACGGCACCACCTAAGGAGCCTGCCACAGTTCAGCAGGCTCTGGGGGGGGAACACAGGGAAAAATGGCGCAAGGCCATGGACAAGGAGTTAAAGGCGCTGGAAGAACGTAACACGTGGAAGGTCGTACCTATCGGGGTGACACTTAACAAGACCATTCTCACCAGCAAATGGGTTTTTCGGGTGAAAACAAAGGCAGCCGCAACCATCGACAAATTCAAGGCACGCTGGGTCGTACGTGGCTTCGACCAAGAACACGGACAAGACTTCACCAAAACATTCGCACCTGTTAGTCGGCACACCTCACTGTGGATTCTCCTCGCGATAGCTGCCATGAAGTGGAAGAAGCTCCGTCAAATCGACGTCGCGAACGCCTTTCTCTACGCACCCGTAGACACTGAGATTTTCGTCAAGCAACCGCACGGCTCCAACGCAGACCCCAACCAAGTCTGACAGCTACTGAAGTCCTTGTATGGCATCAAACAGGCTCTGAGACTGTGGCAGCAATATCTACTCGTGTGGCTAATCCGCATCGGGTTCCGACAACTGCCGCACGATCAACGAATGTACCGGCTCATGAAAGGAACTGACTACATCCTGCTGATCATCTACGTGGACGATCTACTCTACATCGGCTCGTCCAATGACGTCACAACCTGGTTCGAAGGGGAGCTGCAGCAGAACTTGACACTCACCGTCCCATCCACCTTGACACAATACCCCAGGCTCAACAAACAAGAAGAAGAGAACGGGTGTTATCTCAGCGCCGCAAAATACGCCGACACCATCGCCAAACGCTTCGGATTAACTCCAACCGCTATCTCCACACCGTACCGCTACACCTCCGCGAGCTACGAAGGAATCTCCGCACCACTCAAGCCCGCCGGCATATGCGACTATCAACGAAAACTAGGATGTCTACTATTCGCAGCCGTCACCTGCCGACCAGACCTATCGTATTCGGCAAGCCAGCTCGCCACCTACCTCAAGAAACCTAAAGCATAGCACATGGCGGAACTCGACCGCGCACTCCAGTATCTCGTCAGCACTCCGACAATCGGCCTGACCTACCACAAAAACGGAACCTCGACACCTAAGCTAATCGGCTATGTAGACGCCGACAACAGGCGCTCACGCACCGGCTACATCTACCGACTCGAACCTATCGGGCCTATCTCGTGGCAGTCAAGCAAACAGGAACTAATTGCTCTCTCCTCAGCTGAAGCAGAATATATTGCACTATGTTCAGCCACCAAGGAAGGCTTGTACCTTCGCGAACTGCTGGAAGAAGCGAAGTTGGCCCAGTTACCAGCTTCACTTTGTTCTACGACAACCAATCCGCAATTCGCATAGCGAACAAGAACGGGTTCGCGAACCGGACAAAGCATATTGCCCTGCGATAATTCTTCATGAAAGACGAGATCGAGAAAGGGAGACTTGAGCTATCTTACTGCCCCACGTCCGAGATGGCAGCCGACTATTTGACCAAGAAGCTTGGAAAGCAGAAATTCGAGTACTGCATGCTGCTGACTGGACAAAGCCACGTCACCAGCAGCGACACTCCAGAAGCGAAGGGGAGTGTTGGAAACAAGTAACTTAACGCTTCTGATGTGTCGGAACATCAAACTGTAAACGAAGCAAATAGCAACGAAGCAACAGCGAGTCAACCATCGCAGGTCGACAAACTGCTGGAGGTTACGCGAAGGTCAAAGGTCAGCGACCTTTGACTTGACAGCGCGACGGCAAGGACAAACAACTGACTCGATACTGAGCAGTTGCCCGAGTCGTCACTGTATCGAACCACAACAGCAACAGTAAAACAGTTATTAGTTGCACCCTTTCATATTCCTTGTAATCTTATAAAAGCTTGTATTACTTTTCTATAATAAATCTATCTTACCCTCACATACCAGCGCAAGGTGGTTCGACACTTGTTATTAAAACGCTTCCGCAACTATAACACTACTACTCACAGTTTAGCCTTGAAAGATCCTTAGGGCCTTTTCTCAGCCCAACATTTTCAACCTCCAACATAGAAACAAGAAGCACACTCAGATGTCACCATTGCTTGAGTCGAGTCACAGACATGATGTCAAGTAGCATGAGACGAGGGTGTCGTGCTGATGCCGGGGCAGCTTGGTTGATAGGCATGCCCCCAGATCGGATCAGAAGAACGCATGCAGAGCATATGGGTGGGTCACTGCCTGCCAGTCTTCTCTTGTGCCAACGAGCTCGATGCACCATCCCTGTTGCCATCTGTGAGGTGGGAGGTCGGGGAAGGAGGAATGAGAAGATGAGCTGGGAGGGAGGGGAGAGCGATTCAGGGTCTTGGCACATAATGCTGCTGGACAGCAAGAGGGAGCAAAGATGAGAAGGAAGTGACGGCTCCCTACCAGTGAGGAGACTTGCATGCACGGAGTGATATTTTTCTGTGTGGCTTAGGGACATAACAGCAAGACTTGAAGGTCCTCATGACTTCCCGTACAACATGCTTTTCGGCATCGACCTGCAATGCATTGTCTCACATGCCCACACATGGTAAACACAACATACACCATCACCACCATGACCAGCCCCCTCCATTGCGCTCATGCTTGCAAGCATGGCCTCACCTCAAGGACATTACAACCACACTGCTCACCTTGAGTGCTACGCGCATTAGTGTGGGAGTCAGCAGCTGCAAACGGGCCACTCCGGTGAGCGCCATGGGAGGTTGCTGCCGTTCCGATAAGACCCTCCATGTCTGTGGCGCGAGTGTCAGTACAGCTGTTGGTGCGGGCGGCAGTGATTCTGTTGCGAGTGGCAGTGGTGGCAGTGGCATTGGCAGTAGTGGTGCTGGAAGTGCGGGTGGCACTGGTGCCGGTGGTGCGGAAATTAGTGATTCCATTCGTGTGGGCACCAATGGTGCCTGAAGTGTGGCCAGCCAAGGTGGTCGTAGAGCAGGCGGGAGTGGTGTTGGTGGTGCGGGCGGCACTGGCAGTGGTGCGGGTGGCGCGGGAATGAATGGTGCCGGTGCTTTGGGCGGCTGTGACGCTATTAGTGCGGGCTGCAGTGGCGCTGTTGGTGCGGGTTGCAGCTATGCTATTAGTGTGATCTGCGATGGTGCTGATGCTGCGGGAGGCAGAAGTGCCAGTGACATGCGAGGCAGAAGTGCCGGTAGTGCGGGAGGCAGTGGTGGTGGTAGTGCAGGCGGGAATGGTGCGGGTGGTGCGGGCAGCAGTGGTGCTATTAGTGTGGGCTGCAGAAGTGCTAGTGGCGTGCGAGGCAAAGGTTCCGGTAGTGCGGGAGGCAGTGGTGGTGGAAGTGAGGGCGGGAATGGTGCGGGTGGTGCGGGTGGTGGTGGCGGTGGCGCCTGTAATGCGGGTGGCGGTGGTGGCGGTAGAATTGGCAGCAGTGGTGCTGGTAACATGGGTGGTAGTGTTAGAGACTAAGGACGGAGTCTATGAAGATCAGGTGCCTAAATTTTTCAAAGTCGTTGGTCTCTATTTCTGGACAGAATAGTCGCGCTCACAAGAAACGCTGTTGACGGAAAACGCACTGTCAAAACTTCACTAATTTAAAATATGATGTAGCCCTAGGCTGTGGCTACAATTTCCAAGTTGAATCGTACGAAAAGATGAAGAATTCCTTGAGTTATCAATTTTGGCGCACTAGGGGGTATGCTGCCATAAGAACTTAACTCAATGACAAAGTTCTCATAATTACCACACAAAAGAAGTTAGAGTAGCACTAAACCAGGTGGGAGGGGATGAGGAGGACGAGAGGGAGGGTCCCAAGAGTGTCTCCAACCAAGGAAACACCATGCCACACAATTCCCTTCCCCATAGGCAACCCAACTTTGACCTTTGTCACTATCCCAACCTCCACAATCAACCTCAGCCCAACTTGGCCACACTTGCCAACCTGGTTTGGTTTCTCCCAACCATTTGAAGGCAACTACAGTAGAAAAGACGAATTTCCCAACTCCCAAAACTCTGTACCCCATATTGAGTCAACCCCACAACTTCCCACAGTTCAGTTGCCACAATCAAATGTGAAAAGCATACGAACTCCAAACGTTCGTAACTTTCTTGTTCGTGCTCCGATTGAAGCGATACTTGGCTTGTCGAAAAGCTCTTGAGTAGAGGAGTCACTTCAGATATCTGCTCAAGCCAAATAAAATTCACACACACTCAGAAAATCCGAACCACATCAAACACAAATTCTTGCACACGCTCACTCCACGCATGCAACGCACGAACATGTGATGGGAGGCAGACAGACGTGAATGCAAATGATAGCATCACATAACAAACTCCCCCTCTGGCTGCCTACCATCATCCCACATGCCATAGCTCAAGCATGCACCTTCAATGCACACTCATCCCAGCAAGCTTCATGCCCTTCCAATGCTTAGATTCAGCCAGGCGCTTGGTGAGAATGTCAGCCGCCTGCTGATGGGTCTTCACAATCTCCAGCCGCACCTCCTTGTCCAGGAGCCTCCTCACCCAGTGCCACTTAGGCCTGATGTGTTTGGTCAGCCCATGAAGACAAGCATTCTTCGCTAGCTTCACTGCCGACTCATTGTCACAGAAAATGACAGTCAGCTCCCTCTGGCACACTCCGATCTCCTCCAACAAACGCCTCAGCCACACCACCTCCTTTGCCCCATGATGCAGGGCCATGTACTCTGTCTCACACGAGGACTGCCCCACCTCAATCTGCTTCTTACTGCGCCAGCTCACTGCACCTCCTCCAAACAGGCACACATAGCCTCCAATGCTGGTGCCATCCGCCTTCACAGGGTTGAAGCTGGCGTCGGTGTAGCAAGTCAGGAGCATCTCCCCCTTGCCCAAATCAGCTGGACCCCTCTGCAGCCTCTGTCGCACAGCACTGTACTCCAAGCCCACTGATGCCGTAGCGCTCACATAGCGGACCAACCTCTTGGCCGCTTCCAGCTGCTCATGACTGGGGCGTGCAACCACACTTGCAAGCCCGGATGTAGCAAAGGCAATGTCAGGCTGCGTGTGGTTAGCCGCATAATTGAGTGCCCCCACCATGGAATGAAGCAGCTTCCTGTCACTCTCACCCACCACCTCCTCATCAGCACAGGGCTCCAAAGTGAACCTCGAAGGCAGTGGGGTGGCTGGCTTCCCTCCATTTTGCAGCCCATACTTCTCGGCCAGCCCCTCAAAGTACTTCCTCTGGTGCAACCTCAACACTCCCTTGTCAAGGTCCCTCTCCACATGCATCCCCAGGTAGTACTTCACATCTCCCATCTTGGAGCACTTGAACTGCATCTCCAGCATCTCCTCCACACACTCAATCATTGCAGACGACTCGGAGAAGAGCAGGATGTCGTCCACATACACCAGGAGCATGAGAAACTGGCCCTTCTCTTGTAGCAGGAACCGGCTGTGGTCACACTCACTCTTCTTGAACCCCCCAGCCAGCAGTGTCTCCTCTAGCTTCTGGTACCATGCACGAGGAGCCTGCTTCAGGCCATAGATGGCCTTCTTCAGCCGCTCCCATCATCCAAACCCTCAGGCTGTAACATGTACAGCTCCTCCAGAATGATCCCATTGAGGAAGGCGGTGGTAATGTCCATCCGCTTCACCCGCCATCCACGGTTTGCTGCCATTGCCAGTGACACTTTCAATGTTGTGCCTTTCCCCACAGGAGCAAAGATCTCGTCATAATCCTTCCCTTTTGTCTGCTTAAACCCCTTAGCCACAAGCCTTGACTTGTAGCGGGTCAGCTCCCCATCAGGTCTGTACTTGTGCCTGAAAATCAGCTTGGAAGAAATGGCCTTCTTCCCAGGTGGCAGCTCACACAGCTCCCACGTCTCATTCTCCAGCAGAGAGTCATACTCCTCCTTCACACTCTGCTTCCATTTTTCAGCATCCGGCCCACTCAATGCCTCAGCTAGCGTTTTGGGCTCAGGGACGGCTGCCCAGTAGTAGTGTGCTATCTCCTCCTCATCACACTGCTCAGCCACACTCCCAGCCCTTAGCACCTTTGGCTTGCCAAAGCTCGGATAGGTCAGCCGGTTAGGAGGGCGCACATCCCTCTTAGGACGGTCAGCCGGACGTGCGGCACCTTGTGGAGCACCTTGCTGCTGCTGCGGCTGCTGCTGCTGCTGCTCCTCCACCTCAGGTTCTCCCCCATCCTCAGTTACCCCAGAGATCTCCTCCTCTGAGACAGTGACCTGCACTTGTCTCGAAGGCTGCTGCACCTCATCGGCCTCAATGATCAGCGGTGTAGTAGGAAGCTTCTGCTGCTGCTGCTTCCACTCCTTATAGTACAAGGATTCAAGGAACTTCACATCCCTTGACACAGTCAGCTGCTGGCTGGTCAAATCCCATATCAACCAGCCCTTGTGATCCTTAGCAAGCCCCAAGTGCACACCCCATCTCCCAGAAGCTTCCAGCATTCCCCTCTTCTCCTTAGGCACATGAAACAACACCATGCACCCTAAGGCTCTCAACATGTTGACTGCTGGTGCACTCCCATACCACTTGGTGTAGGGGACCCACTGCTTGTCCCCCACAGTCGCCAGCACCCTGTTCTTCACAAGGGCGACCTGCCGCAGTGTAGTCACCCAAAACGGATCTGGCAGCCCTGCACGCCCAAGGAGAGTGAGAGCACCTTCCTGCAGGGTCCGGTTGAACCGCTCAGCCACGCCGTTTTGCTGAGGGTTGTAGGGCACCGTGAGCTGATGCTGGATCCCCTTCTTCTTCAGCACCGCCTCAAAATCAGCGCCAATGAATTCTCCCCCATTGTCGGTGCGGATCACCTTCACCTTGTGACCGCTCTCCCTTTGAGCTCTCGGCATCCACTCCTTAAGAACAGCCGCTACCACCTCCCCCTTAGTCTTCAGAGGGTAGACCCACACCGCACGTGTGTGGTCGTCCACAATGGTCAGGAAATAGCGGCTGCCCGAGAGAGAAGGGGCCCTCGTGGGGCCCACCACGTCCATGTGCACAAGTGCAAGTGGCACCTTGGCTGGTCCTATGCTGCTGCTGAAGGGAAACTTCGTGAACTTGGTCTCAAGGCATGTAGGGCAGCTCCCAATCTCCTTTGCTGCCCCCTTCACCTCCAACCCCTTCAAGCTCCCATCCTTCACCAACTTCTACAGCATAGGAATGTTGATGTGACACAACCTCTCGTGCCACGTCTCTCAATCAGCCTCACCACTCCCAGATGAAGCCTTTGCACATGCAGCTGACGCATCCACACCAGCAAGCACCTCACCATGTGGTTGCTGTGTCTGCTGCACCTTCTTGACTGCATCCAGGGCCCCAACAGCGCTCGGCGCCCTCTAGCCAGGCGCCCTCCAGCTTGGCGCCCTTGCAGTGGCCACCGTGCCCACTGCTGCAGGTCGGCTGCACCCCCCGCACATCCGACCACAAGGTTGGCTCCGCCCAAGCGAGGACGGGGCCTTACAACGCTCCCGTTGACAAATGATAGCATCACATAACAGGTAGTGCGTTGGGTAATGCGGGTGGCACTGGTGCCAGTACTGTAGCCGGCGATGGGGTGGGTGGCGATGGTGCCTGTAGTGCCGGTGGCAGTGGGGGCAGTGGTGGCAGTGGTGGCGGTGGTGACAGAGGTGGTGGTGGTGCTGTAAGGTGCCAAAGTGGATCGGGTGGCAGCACGAGAAGTAGCTCGAGTCGTGATGCAAGGAGCAGTCACGGCTGTAGCGCGAGTGGCAGCAGCTGATGCAACACGCTGAGAGGCATGACGAGAGGCATGGCGAGAAGCATGCGCTGTAGGACAAGTAAACGGGGCAGGGCAGGAAAACAGGACAGGGTAAAGATGGGCATGCATTATGGCATGAGGACAAGCATGTGCAATCGTATGTGGAAGACGTGGGTTCTTATTCCCAAATTGTCCAAACTGGTTTGATATTTGTGAGTCTTGAGCTTGGCTGCTGCGCATGCACGGGAAAGAAAGACGGTTATGGAAAAAGGGCGTTGGAAAAAACGAAGCACTGTTTGAAATCAGACTGCGCTCGCCACAATGCTCCAGCTTTTTTAGACAAAAAAAACGCAAAAGTTATAACACCCATGGGATGACAAGGCGGCAACAGCAGAACCCCCTTCGCCCTTTCTCTGTCAACTTCCCAACCCACTTCTTTGCCAACCTCCTCTTCCCTTACCTAACAACCTTTCTTCCTTTTGTCCTTCGCAAGCTTTCCCCCATCTGCGCGCGCTTACCTCTGTCCTTTCCCCATCTCTGCCGAAGTCCCCTCCCCTCCCGCCCTTCTCTGCTAACCATATCCCCTCTTCCCACCTTTCCCACACAAGTCACTACAAAGCTTTCCCCTCCCTTGCTGTCAACATTCACCACTCTCACTACCATCCTCCCATTCTCTATCCCAACCCCCTCTCCCCTCTCCAACCTCTGTTTCCCCCTCTCTACCAACCTTCCCCCCTTTATCCCACCACCC